CACACACACACCACACACACCCCACTCACCCCCCCCACACAAACACACGCGTGCGCGCGCACCCAGGTCTCTGTTCCTGGGGGCTGAACGAGGCCTAAACAGAATTCTGCTTGTACTGAGCCAACAGCAGTCTTTTCTGGAGCAGAAGCTTTACAGCCCCGCAGGGCTAGCCGGCTGCCCCCGCTCCTCCCCAGCCCCACCCTCAAGCCGACCGCCCAGCACCCCCGGGCGCCCACTCACCTGGGAAAACTGTTTCTCCCGCATCTTGACCTCCTTCTCCACCAGCTGCTGCCTCCTGGCGCTCTCGCTCTGCAGCCTCCGCTCTACCTGCTCGCGCCGCCTCCGCTCCTCCTCCAGGGCCTGCCGCCGGAGCTCCATCTCCCGCTCCTGCCCCCAAAGCCAGCGGTCGGCGCCCATGGCTGCCCTCTGCCGCCCCTTCCCCCGCGCCCCTCCTCAGGCTGGGGCCGAGCTGTGGGAGGCACCCACCTCAGAGGGCAGCCTGGCACCAGGGAGCATCACCCCCAGAACCCACCCTCTACAAGCACCTTGCCGGTCGGGTTAAACACTTTCAAGTGCTTGGATCCGGGCTCTGCCGGATGAGCTCTGTGAGCCTGACAAAATCATTCAAACCCCCTGGGCCTCCGCCGTCTCATCTGTAAAATGGGGCCGAGGGCGCCCCCCTTCAGGGATTATAGGGAAACTTACACGAGGTCGTGTACATAAACCGCCCCTCACGGATGCCGGCAGGACAGAAGCACCGAATAAGCGGGGCTCTTACACTTATCTGAATTCCTATCACACACATCACCTAAGTGACTTTTCCCAATACTGAATTATTTTCAGTACTCCTTCCCTAATCATCACTAAGGCCCTCTGAAACCAAATAACAAACATGTGTAATCTAACTTCAAATTTTATGGGGGGAAAAATGAACTTACAGAAGCCATTCTTGAGTCTAAAAGTCCTTAAACCAAATCATCAAACACAAAGCACGTCAGTGACATTTTATGTCCTCATCAACAGTAACGACCTTCACACCGTGAGCTCCTGTTTGCCATTTCTTCCTAGCTCAAAACTGAGCAGAGTCTCCTTTCTCTGTTTGCCAAGAGCTGCTTGTGAATACGCCCTCCTTCGACGGGAGTACGACTGAGAGGCCTTCTTTTCTGGCTGGCCTAGCGGCTGCCTCCCACCCCCCAAACCCCACTCTCACCTCCAGAGACCCAGAGCACCCGGAGGGTGGAGACAGACCCCCCACCCCCTCCCCAGGCACGGGCTCCTCAGCCCCCAGCGCCCCCGTATCCCCTCCGCCAACACCCCTGCTCTGGCCTGGACACCTGCCTGCTCTTCTAGTCCTACCCCTTGAGCCCCCATTCCCGCGTTTCCTCGCCATCCCCAAGAGGAAGGACCTGCCGCCGGGGGTGGGGAGACCAGAATCAGAGTCCCCGTGGCGGCCAAAACACCCACAGAGGCAAACGCACAAAGGCTGGAAGGCGCCGCTGGGGAGATTCACGGTGGACAGCGCTTACTGTGCTGCCGCCTCTTGTCCTAAGAGCTGCGACACCTGCCACGTGGCCAGGCCTCCTCCACTTGAAGAACGCAATTAAAACCCTTTCTTCCTTGAGGGAAGGTCTGGAGGAGCCTGGGGGCAGAGGGGCTGGGGGCGGCCGGCGCCGGCCTGCCTCACCCTGGACTCCATGAGCCGGCTCTTCTCCGCGTGTGCTTCTTTCAGCATCTTCTCCATCTCCTCGATCTTGCCCACGTCCAGGCCGCTGGCGCTGGGGGAGGGGGAGAGCGGGGGGCATCAGGGGGCCGGGAGGCGGCTGGCAGAGGCAGGGCCAGCCCCCCGGGGCGGGTACCTGGACATGTTGTCGGGCGAGCAGGCCGAGTTGCCGCCCATGGAGATGCTGGTCTCCATGCTGTCCGAGCTCTCCAGGCTCAGCGTGTCGTAGGCGTGTTCGCCGTCCTCCCCGCGCTCCCGGCCGGCCGGCAGGTGGTGCAGGATGGAGTGGTGCATGAGCGGGGGGAAGCCGGAGGGGCCCGGCGGGAAGGGGGCCGCCCCGTGCAGGGCATCCCACTGACACTGCGCCTCGGCGGCAGCCTTCTGCTTCAACTCGGCCAGGCGCCGCCGCTGCTCCTCGATCACCTGCTGCCCTGCGGGACGGACGGGGGCAGAGTCACGGCGGGCCCTCTGGGGGACACTGGCAGCATCACAGAGGGAAGAGGGGAGCAGGGAGAGATCAGCACAGGGCCCACCCCTCGGCCCCCCCAGCTTCCCTAAAGCCCCCCCCCCCCAGCCCCAGGTCCGGCTGCCCTGCCAGCACTCGGTCGCCTGCACGACCGGCCACGGCCACATCGTCCGGCTTCAGTGCTCCTTCTGCATCCTGAGCCCCACAGGGCACTGCCCCTGCCCCGGCGGTGCCTCCAGCTCACAACCATGGCCTGAAGAGCAGGGCAGGGCTCATGCACCCCCGGCCCCCCGCCTGCTGGGGAGGGGGTCCGTGAGCAGGGTGTCCATGCAAGCCCAGCAGTGATGCATAAGCAGGAGCAACACCAGCAGGGAGGAAGGGGAGACAAGGCAGAGCACAGCTGAGGCACAGCGAGCCCAGCTCGAGGGGCAAGGCCAGGGGACACCCCATCCCAGCTCAGCCGATGGGGGGGGCGCGGCAGCGAGGACCTGCGCAGGATCATCATGCAGATGCCCAGGCGGGGCTGGCTGACCAAAGCAATGCCCCCAGTGACCAACGTTCTACCTGCTGGGTTGTCGGCTGGGGGGGGCTCGGCAGGAAGCGACTCGCCTGGTGTGGGGGCCCCGGGCAGAGGGTAGGGTAGAGAGACACAGAGGGGATGAGACGAGGGAGACGCACAGACGTGGGCTTTCAGAACGACCAAAATGCACACAGGCAACAAGGACTCCTGGGTCCCCAGAGCCGGTATCTTAGGGAACCACCTCTGGAGGCCATCAGGTGCACCCCCTGCCTCCAGACAGGGCAATGTCCGTCCCGGCTCAGACCAACAAGCATCTCCCTTCTTTGCTGAGCTCTCTGGGAAGGATCACACGGCCCCCAACCCTTAGTCTCTTGATAGATATCCAGGAAGCTCTTCTTCAGATATTGAATCTAAACGCTTTCTGTGCTTGCCTAGAACTCCATTAAAGCAAAGACACCCTGCGAAAGGTGTGGCACGGGGCAGGGGGGTGGGGGGGTATATATCCATATATCCAGGGCCCCCCGGGGAGAGTGGGGGGTGGGGGGGCAGGCCCACAGCCACTCACCCTTCTGCTGCAGGGCCAGCTGGCGCTTGGTCTCGATGTCCTGCAGCGTGGCCGCCAGGTTGCGAGGGAGGCTGCCTGTCCCGTTCTGGGCGAGTAGAGCACTCTGCGGGGGGGAATGGAGCACTGGGACCTGGGGCTCGGAAGACACCCCCCTCCCAAGGCTGTCCTGGGCAGCTCTGACCCCTCCCCAGCAGCACAGCTTCCACGTCCCTACCCCAGCCATGCCACACACCCAGCCCGCCCACGGTCGTCAGACCTTCGGGGAGGGGCTCCGGCCCAGGGTAGCCACGCTGAGCTGGGAGGAAGAGGAAGAAGAGCCAGAGGAAGAGGGGAGGGGGCCACTGCGGGTCCGGGGCAGGGGGCTGGTGGCCTCACCATCCATCTTGGAGCGGTAAACCTGGAGGGAAGAGATCCTGACTGGTGAGCTCCAGCTCCCCCACCAGCCAGCACCCCCACGTCACCTAGGCTGACTGTGATCCAGGTCCCGCCCCGGCACCAGGCCAGCAACAGCATTGAGCTTCTTGGGCCAGCCCAACGGACCGGTGTTACTGGTAGCCGCCAAGCCTTTTCCAGGCAGCTCCTCTCTGGACCAATCCCTGGTCTCAGATCTCAGATCTGAGATCTCAGAAAAGGTCTCAGAAAATCGACCCATGTGAGGTGGCATTCACATCGGTTGGGCAGAGCTGTGCGGGAGACCAATGGGAGGCCAGGGTTCCTTCTGGTCCAGCCCCAGCCACTAACAGGCTGTGTGACCTTGGGCCATGTACCTCCCGGCTCTGAGCCCTAGATCTGCAAAAGGAGGGAGCAGAGCTAGACGAAGGAACGGCCAAGCTCCCTCGCAGCCCTCACGTTTGCTGAAGACGGGGTCTGGAGTCAAGAACCCTGACGCCTCGCACAGGTTCTGCTACTTCCTAGTCATGGGGCCTTGGGGAAGTGACTTATCTTCTCTGGGCCCCAGTGTCTGCTCTGTAAGATCAGAGAGTGAACTGCTGATGATCACATGAATCGAAACACATACAAATAGAGCTACCTTACGTGCTAGAAGAATCGAACTCCTCCCAAATGGAACATGGAATTAGAGCTGAGACCACAAACGTAGAAGTGCGGTGCCTGCACCCCAGGAGGGAATCTTGGGCGCTGGGGTCCTGGGCACAGCCGCAGGTCAGTGGAGCACGCCCTGACCCCTTTCCCCATGCCACGGTCAGCAGCTGGCTACAGGCTCAGGTCGCCTGTACCCTGCACGGAAACGCTGAGGAGGCCTGGGCACGTCCTCATGGCTGTTACTTCAAAGTCTGTCCCACCAGTACTGCCCCCAAGTGTCACCCCTGGGGAGACCCGGAGAGCAAAATGCCAGCCACACTAGTTCCAACTGCAAGAGGCCCAAGAGGGCATCATCCCCCCCACTCCCCCACCCCGGTGACCGGGGGAGAGACTCCGGGCCTGAGCGCTGCGGGGGACAGAGCGGAGCCGTGGTCTGCCCTAGCATGAGGCACCAGACCCACCCCACCCTGGTCCCCGCCTCGGGAAGGCCCTTCCGCTGGACCGGCAATCCTCTAAGCCATCGGTGGATCAGAGGCTGGCCCTCCAGCTGCCCAAAGGGCCAGGACGCTGCCCATGAGGAGACCTCAGGGCCCAGAGGCCCCTTTCTGCCCTGACTCGACTGACTGCCACCCCCGCCCCCCCATCTAAGGTGGCGCTATGTGACTGCTGGACCAGCAGGAGGTATCCAGAGCAGAGAGGAGCAGGGCTGGGGGAGGGGCGGGCAGGGGGAGAGGGGTTACCTGCAGCTGCCGGGAAGCTTTGGCGGGCAGAGGCGGGGGAGAGGAGCGCGGGGAGGCCGCCGCGGGGCCGGTCCCCAGCCCGGCCATCAGCTCCTGGTACCACTGCTCTAAGTCTACGGCAGGGAGAAGCAGCTCCTCCATCTGGAGTGGGGCGTGGGGCGTGGGGAGCGGGCGTGGAGAGCAGGCGGGGAGGAGCGGGGCGGGGAGGGAGCGGGAAGGGGCAGGTTGGAGGAAGAGTAAAGGAAGGCCTCGATCAGGGGGGAAGCAGGAAGGTGAGGGGGAAGGGAAGGGAGGAAGGGAGAAAGGACAGCATAGAGAGAAGGAGAAAAACAGTAAGAGAACAGTTGCTGCGAACACGCCGAGGGCAAAGAGGAACAGTCAGGACACAACTCCCAGACCGGAGACTCGCGCTCCACCAGCTCCGATGCCGGCGGTGGCCGGCGCCCACAGGCACTACGCACTCCGGGGCTGGCCTGAAGCTCCGAAGCTGGGAAGCCGGGGCGGCGCGCGCACACACGCACGCGCACGCGCACGCACGCACGCACACGCACGCACAGCCACACCAGCCGTAGGCTGGGGGTGGCAGGAACACACAGACCACCAACCTTGGGTGAAGGCGTGAGAGAAGCGGAGGAGGAGGAAGAGGGCAGCACGGGAGGAAGGCAGGTGGTGGGAACCAGGTGCCGGGAGGCAGAGGCCCAGAAAGGCAGGCCTGGCGCAGGGTTTGTGGGCACGGGCGAGGCGCCCCACATCGCCTTTAGCTGCTCAAGCGTCACGTACTTGGGGGAAGGCCAGGATGCGGGAGGGAATACAAGAGGTTAATGGAGCTGCGACCCAAGAGATGGCCCTGCCCGTGGGCAAGGGAAGGGTAATCCTAGGAAGCGAAGAGCAGCAGAGCCTTGCACAGCCCGGGAAGGCGAGTCCTCTCAGTAGGACGCCCTGGCGCCACAGCAGAAGGCCTGCCCCTCGCTGAGCCGTCAGGAGCTGCAGCGCCCGAGGCCCCCGGGAAGAGAAGAAACCAGTCCCCACCCCCCTTATGCCCGCTGCTCTTCTCCCTCACCGCTGGAGACAGACCCTGTCGTCCCCCAAGCCCCACCCAGGCCTGAGGCACCATCTGGGCACCCACGAGGAGGCCCAGGTGGGCTCCCTCCGTGGCTGGTACCTCACTGTCAGGCAGGGCCTGGGCGAGCACGCTGGGGGAGGTGGCAGAAGCATGGGGGTCCAAGCGGAAGCACAGCTGGAGAACCTCTGCCAGGCTCACATACTCCTAGGGTGCCCGGTGGGAGGGGGAGGGATGTGCAGAGAAGAGGTTAACAGGGTACAACCAGGTACCCAACACCCAAACTCCATGCCTTAGGGCCACCACTCCATTCAATACAAGATCCAGAGCAGGGGTGGGGAGCTCAGCTGCCCACCATGGCCGGAGACAGCTGTTGTGGGCAGGGTGGGGGGAAGGGAGGACCAGAAAAGGGCAGGCAGAACAGTCTGAAGGCTCTTCTTGACCTCTACCTTTTGAAGCTGCCTTGCCATCCAGGCAGACCCTGAAGGCCCACCCCTGGGTTTGCTCTGGGCTGGGGACAGGAGAAGCCGAGGGAAGGCCTTCCAAGAGTCCACTGAGGATCAGGACCCGGCTCCCAGACAACCCTTCTGTCTCCGACACCTTGGGCATCCCCAGTGGGGCACACACACATGCGTCCATGGAGTACCAGCCACCATTCCCGAGCATCTCCTCGCACCCCATCTGCTGGGGCAGGAGCTGGAAGGGGTGGGATGGAGACACCACTAGGGAGTGAGCTAGACGGGCTCTGAGAGAGAGACCTTAGCAGGAAACAGCTCAAAGCCCAAGTAGAAAAATGGGCCCAGTGCCCATGGGTTAGTACTTGGAGAGAGATACTAGCACATTAGCTTGTGGGGTGGGAGGACAGGGCCTGGCATAGTCCCTGAGCATATCCTTAGACCCCGGAGCTTATCTAGGTGTCCCAGGCAGGGCAGGCATCCAAAATGCTGCTGAGTGCACAAGAGCCTAAGCCTGCCCTATCCAGAGGGAGCCCCAGCCTGGCCTAGCTCCAGAGGGCAACTGTCCTCCAGGGCTCAGGGAAAAGGAAAATGAGCTGGAGGATCCAGTGGGTTGTGAGAACTGATGAATGGCATGCAGAACATGTGCAAATTAATATGCAAATCGGTGCTCTGGTTTTGCACGGGCTGCGCAGGCCCTCTCCGGAACAGCAGGGTGGCACACACACTCACACTCTCACAAACTCTGGCCAAAGGGTAATGGCCACGCGCCCTTCAGCTGGGCCCGTGGGGGAAGCTGTAGGCAGGAGCTCAGCAAGCAGGCAGGCAGTGGGCACAGCAGGGCAGGCAGTTAGCTGTGATTACCTCTTGTGCTTTGGGGCTGAGCTGAGTGGAAGCAGGTGGGGTTAGGGGGACAGAGGAGGCCCCAGGCTCAGAAGACCCTGGGAAAGGGACCAGAGTTGCAGATCCCAGCCCCATCTCTGAGGACTCGGAGATGAGCAGTTCAGCCTACAGAGAGGGTACATGGTGAGGGGCCTCTCCCCTCACGCAGCCCAGCCACCCCGCCCCAGGCCTCAGTTGCTTGTGCAGTGAGGCAGGTAAAGAGCTTGGGAACTGGGGCACATCCTGGTTGGAACTTACACCCCAGGCATGCAAAGACTCGGGAAAGAACGGCTTAAGGGACGTCAGAGCCCACTTCTCAGCCAAGAGCGTAGCTCTAGACTGAAGCCCAAGGAGCTCCAAGGTCAGGACCCCTAGATTCTTGTGCTCCCCCTCAAGGGGAATCTACCCAGCCCTAGCCCTTACCAAACCTCCGAGCTGCCTGTCCTCCCCACTCATGCCTCCTGAATCCCCCAGATGTATTTAATCACCCAAAATGGCAGCATCAGTAAGCTCCTCCGAGCCAGAAAGGTATCTGAAAAGCAGCAGCTGGTGGCCACAGAGGGTCAAATCCCAGACGTCAGGGCCATTCCTACTCAGACCTCTCCAGTTCGGGAAAATGTTCCCATACGCAACCTCAGGGGCGAAGGTGCCCCATGTGGCTCCAGAGCCTCCCGAGAGACCCGCTGGGCCTGAAGCTAGGGCCAAGCCCAGCACGTTCGTTACCTCTTTGAGGGTGGATGTGGTCTTCGGGAAGGACCGGCCTCCTGTGAGTGAGTGGTATCTCCCCTCCAGCACAGTCAGTCTCTCCTTCTCCTACAAGCCCCAAGGGGCCGAGTCAGCGCGGGGTGGGGGTGACGGCACGGGGGAGGACCAAGGGAAGCGGGTCCCGCCTGGCCTCCACACACGTCTCCCACCATCGCGCCCCAGCCCACCCCGCCTGGGCTACCTTCTGCAGCAGCTGCAGGGAAGCGTTCTTGTCCCTTGCCAGGCGCTCCGACTCTTGCACTGCCTGGGCCCGGATCTGCCCCGCCTGGCTGTCCAGGATTGCCAGGCGCTCCTGGAGGAGAGGGGGGCCAGTCAGTCAGGCCTGGGAGACAACAGGGCTGAGCCCACGGGAAGACCCGTGGCTTGGGCGGAGGTCATCAACCAGCCCTTCTGCTTGGCTTCCACTCACCCCGGGGAAAACAGGCAACTACGGTCAGTTCCTCCCCTCAGCCCTCCCTCAACCAGCAACTCCTGTGCCCTGCCGTCAGCGAGTCCAGAACCCGGGGTGCAGTGAAGAATTCCCCACCTGCCCTGCCCCCACCGCCACCCCCCCAAGTCTGCTGCCTTCCCGGCGGGGACCGCCTCACCAGCCTCCCGCTCCCACTCTCTCGACTGTCTGGTGGGCTCCACACTGCCACAGATACCTTCTTAAAATGGCCTTGGACGTTTGTTTTTGTTTGCTTATCTGAATTTTCGAACCCTTCTAAAAATATATACATATTACTTGAGTAATTTTTTAAAAATTCACCAGTAAGATTAGATGACTCCTCTCCTCAAAATCTTTGAGTGACTCCCCGTTACTCACAGGCCAGAGCAGGGACTCCGAAGCCGGCATTTGAGGGCTCCTGGAACGGGGCCCCCACCGCGTCCCCGCAATCCTGGCCGCGGGATACAGCAAGCTGCGAAGCTGCATGCTCTCAGGCCTTTCTAACACCGCCCCCTTAGCCCGGGAGAGCGCCCCGACCTTCCACCACCGAGGGCTCACTTATCCTCCAAGACCTGACGGAGCGCTACCTTCTCTCCCAACACCTTCCTCAATCACCACTCGATTTCTCTGCTCCTCTCTCTGTGCTCAGATGACTCTGTAGCGCCCTCTGCCTCATACTACGGGTACTTATGAACATGTGTCTCCATCACCACCCCGCCCAGGCTGTCCGATCCAAGGGCAGGGTCAGTGTCTTAGATTCTGCCTCCATATCCCCAGTAGAACTTAGCACAGTGCTTGGCTCAACAACCATGTGCTAAAAGGAAATGAAAAGAGAATAACGTGAGAGAGAAGGATGGGGGATGGGGGGAAAAATGGGCTGGGTTAATCCTAGGAGGGCTTCCTGAAAGAAGTGGCCTTAAACCACCACCTTTAAGAGTAAGACGTGAGCAAGGAGGGAGGGAAGAAGGGAGCTGTCCTAGATCTGGGGTCAGCCCAAGGGATAATCCCCACAGCAAAATCTGCTGTTTATTGAGAACCTGTTAGTACTCAAGAACTCTGCTAAATGCTTTGCATTTGTTACCTCATTTAATCCTCTTTTGAGGCAGGTACCTTTATGCCCATTTTACAGATAAGAACACTGACATAGGGGCACCTGGGTGGCTCAGTTGGTTAAGCATCTGCCTTCGGCTCAGGTCATGATCTCAGGGTCCTGGGACCAAGCCCCATGTGAGGTTCCCTGCTCAGCGGGGAGTCTACTTCTCCCTCTCCCTTTGCCCCTCCCCTCACTTGAGTGCGCATGTGCCCACACTCTTTCTCAAATAAATAAATAAATGAATAAAATCTAAAAAAAAAAAAAAAAGAAGAACACTGACATATTTAGGAGCTGATGAGTGCTAGAGCTGGGATTAGAACCAAATCTGTTGGGACTCCAAAACCAGGACTCTGAACCACTCTGGATCACAGTGGAGACGGGAACACCAGACACCAGGGCAGATGCAGCCTGGCACAGGTGGGACACTGGGAGCTGAGGGAGGAGGGGAGGCTGAGCAGGCTCAGGAGAAAGCAAGGGAAAGAATGTGACCCCCCAGGGTCCCAGTGGCTCAGCTGGGTTCCTGGGAGCCAGGGTGGGCATGGGGAGGAGAGAACAGGAGTCCAATCCTACTGACCCCTCCCAAACTCCCTGGAGCTTACACCCACCAGGACCTCAAAGGGATGGGATGAGCTGATCTAGGGCTCCCGGCTGCATCCTCTCCAAAGGGAAGAGGAAGAGGCTGGAGAAGTGCCAGCCCCTGGCCCCAGGGCAGTACAGCATAAGGAACAGATACTTTGGGGCCAGGCGGGCCTGGGGTCCAATGCTGACTCTGAAGCTTGTAAGCCGAGAGGTGTGGGGCAGATACGTAGCTTCTCTGAGCCCTCGTTTCCTTGTCTATAAAATGAGGATAAGAGCACTGGCCTGTGAGAGCATCATAAGGTTGGCATAAGATAACCCAAGAAAGCCTCCTGGCACACACCCACGTGCTTGGGCAATGCTAGCTTGCTTCCTTCCTTCCATCTGTCTCGCATCTGGAAGCGGATGCATTTGTAAGGCAGAGAAACTCAGGGAGAGGGGCAAGGGATCCAGACGCAGGGGGAGGGCCAGCAGCTCCCCACATACCACCAGACTCAGGCTAGCCCTCGAGACCCCAGCCACCACTTTTCAACACCCCTCCCCTGATCTCACTGCCCTCACCTCCCACCCACTCACTCCAGCCGTCGCAGGCACGTGAGCTGCTGGACCATCCTCCCCCTTCTCCTCCCCGACTTAACACAAGCCTCCTCCCAAATGTACTCCCCACCCTCACATACACACACACACCCTGTCCTGGGCTGGCTGAGGTCAGGAGCAGAGGATCACCGCATCTGGAGCTCCAGAACCGGTGAGGATACCATACACAATCCCCTTGTTTTCTGGCTCAGCTAAGGCTGAGCCACAGCTGGAGCCTAGGGGATGCCCTTTCTAGGACCACCGGTTGGCTCGATATCCAGACCTCAGCACCTTGTACGTTTCCCAGCACGTCCACCAGACAGACAGATCTACACGAGCAGCAAGCCTCCCCCCAGCCTCCTCCTCCCCCATCTCCACCTTTCATTTCTCTGCCCACCAGGGCCAGCTCCGAACGGGAGCCCTGTCCACTCTCCACTGGGAGCCCACACTCAGTAACAGCCCCTGCCGTCCGCCCAGCGCCCTCAGACTACCCTCAGGGCCCATGCTGTCCTCACACACACCATCCTGCTTCATTCTCTTGACAACCTGCTCTTGGTTTGCAGAGAGGGAGACTGAGGCTCAGAAAGGTAAAGTTAGCTTTTAGGGGGTCATCAGCTGGGATCCAACTCATTGGCCTCCAACCTCCCCGCTGGCTCTGAGCAGGGGATGGGGCGGCGCACACCTTCCTCTTGGTGATGCTGCGAAGCAGCTCGGCCTGGCTCCGGAGCAGCCCCTGGCCGGCCAGCTCCCGCTCCTCCTCCACGCGGCTCTCCCGCTCCAGCTGCTGGAACTCCAAGTCCTCAAACAGCTTTGTCTCCGTCTCCAGGGCCTCGGCCTCCTTGAACGACAGTGACAGAGGGGGTCGGGCAGTGCTCGGGATACCACTCTGGGCCTGGAAGGCCAGGCCACAGAGGGGGGGCGGGGGAGTTCTGAGGGCTGGCCCCAGGGAAATCGGGGAAGGGACCTGCCCCCGCCCAACCCCCTTTCCTCTGCTTGGGTTTGCCCCCTGCGCGGAGCATCAGTGCCTGGAGTAGCAGAAAGGAGAAAAGCGCTCCCCCCATCCTTCCCGGTCCCCTCCAAGCCACAGCACCGACCCTGGTGTCCGGCAGGTACTGCAGGGCCCAGGTGGTCCCGTCCCACCGCTCTCCTCTCTTCTGGGTGGGTGGCCCTCGGGGGCCAGGGAAGGGGGGCTGGTGAAACTGACCCTTCTCAGCTGCTCCTGTAACTGTTCCCGCACTGACTCGGGGCAGTTATCGAGCTGCGTCTGGAGCTCGGCGTAGAGCGCCTGGCGGGCCTCCAGGTGCCTCCGTCCCGCGGCCAGCTCCGCCCTCTCCTGGTCGGCGGGGGGGGGGGGGAGGGCGGGCACAGGGGAGAAACAGAACACACACTCCTCAACTCCGGCCCGCGGGCAGCGGCGGCCATGGGGGGGGCGGCCAGGGAGGGAGAGAGCCAGAGCCGGGGAGCGGCAGAGCGGTGGGGGGAAGAAGCCGAGGAAGAACAGAGGAGGATAAGCGGGAGAGGAGAGACGAAGAGAGAGGGGGAAGGCGTGTGGGAGGGGTGAAGCACGGGAGAGGCGCAGGACACTCGCAGGTGCAGGGGGCCATGTACGACAGCCAGACGGGAGGGTCTCGGGCAGAAATTTTGGTCTCTTGGAGTCCTCTGGACTAGAAACTATTTGGGGAGGTCCTAAGAAAAGCCCTCTGTCTTCTCTCCAAACCCATCAAGGCCGAAGCTGCTTCCCCATCACAGACGCCCAGCCTCTAGCCCCTGCTTCTCCCCCTCTTCCACCGCCTGGAGACCAACATTTCACCCTGGGGCAAAAGGTAGAGCCGGCGAGGGTTAAGTGCAGGGGCCGGGAGTGACTCAAAGCTGGAGATGTTAAAGCTCCGGGCAGTCAGTGCAGCAGCAGGACCCCAGCCCGACTCCCAGGGCCTCCCTCCCTCCTGCCCAGGGTGGAGGTGGGGGGCTGGTGCTGCAGGCTGAACTCCAGCAGGAGAGGGTTGCAATTAGTTCGGCCGTTGCTATGGCAACAGGAGCCCCAGGAGTGGGTACAGAGAGGAGGTGGATAGCTCTGTCTGGGGCGAGATGACACCTCCGAGGGCGGGAAGGGGGACAAGGGGAGGAGCTGGTGAGTCACCCCTCCGAAGGACAGGCAGAGGAGAAACTATGATTACTGATTCCAAAACCAGAGTGGGGCCGTGGGCTGGGGAGGAAAGCCAAGTGAACCTTCCCCACGGCCACCACCCCCACCCCCCACCACCACCTCAAATAACTGGGCTCAGAGAGAAGGCACTGTCCTGACTTCCAAGTGATGCCAGGTCAGTGAGAAAGGAAGTTAGGCAGCTTCCCTCTGAAATGCTGAGCTTACTTGAAGTAAGTCCCTATGCGGAATCCTGCCCCGCCCTCCCCCGACCCACCCCCCCCCATCCAGGGAGAGGAGGACCCAATCAGGCCAGTTCCTGGGGTCCAAGAACCTTCCCCTCATTGGACTCAGCCTTTACAACACCCTACGTTCCCGATGGCTCAGGGGTGGGAGAAGGGGAGGGGCCTACTCATTCCCACCCTCCGGCTCGGGTATCTGAGCTTGGGAAACCCCAGGGGGGAAGCTGGGAAGGGCAGCCACGGTGTGGCAGAGAGAACCCGTCCAAACCCTCCCCAGGCCATGCCACCCCAGCTGCACCTCCAGACCCCTCAGCTCCGAAAGCAACAGAGAGAAGGGAGGCAGATGGCTAGAGAACAGCCGGCTTCTCCCTGCTGTATGGAGGTGGCACCCGGGACTCTTCCAAATGGGGGGCGCTCTTCAGGCTGAGAAGCACCCCGGCTAGGCATTTCGCCCAACCTTGACCCCTCCTGCCAACGCACCATTGAGTAAAGTTGAGCCGTGCCCCCTGTCCATTCCTTTCTGATCAAAACCCTGGAGTCCCACCCCAAGAAAGGAAGGAGGCAGAATTAGACGGGGAGAGGTCAAGGGCACGGCAGTGCCCCTGGAGTTAGTACGAAAGCAGGCGTGGCTCAGCCCTGCCTGGGTGGCAGCGGCAGTTAGGGGCACGCGGAGAGCCCAGGACAGTGATTAGAGGCGGCGTTAGTGCAGGCCTGGTTGGTAAGCGTGGAGTTAATTTGGCACAGAATTTGGGAGTGTGGTTTTGGGGGCCAGAGCCAAAGCTCCAAAAAAAAAATGGGGGGATGTCAAAGAATTTTTAAGATTCTCAAAATTGGGACAGGAGGAAGACGCTCTCAAAAAAATTCAGGAAAATTAATTCTTGGAAAAAATACTGTCAAGTCCAGAAAGAGGTGGCCCGGCTCCACACTCCAGAGCTTTTGGCACGTTGTTGGGCATCTCGGGCCTGGCGGGCACGGCCCCTGTGGGACGGAGCGCCCCCTGCAGGCTGGCACGGGATCTGAAAGGGGCGGGGGCGGGAGCTGGGACCACCTGGGATGGGAGGCTGCAGATCCTGAAGGCTCAGGGGAAGCAGAGACGTGAGGGCCATCTCCCAGAGATCACATCCTGAGCACCCGAGGCATGCCGGGCAGGAGACGTTCTCTCGATGGAGGGACCCAATTCCGAACCACTTCCCAGCACCAGTCCCTCAGGCTGTGCTCACTGCCCAAGCAGCAGCTTTGGCACTGCCTAGAAGGGCCACGAAGGACCGGGAATGGCAGGCACCCACAGGTAGCACAGAGACCCAGACAGAGGAGACCCCAGACCAGCCCCTGACAGTGCCCTTCAAGCTGGTACCTTCCACAGAGGACGAGGCCCCCTGCTCCTGGGCAACACAGGGACCGCCAGGTCTGCAGGATGGCTGACGAGGGAAGGGGTAAGAGGCCTAGAGGAGGCACTGCCCCTCCCCCAGGCCACCGGTAGCCAGCCCCAGGCCAGGCCAGCCGTGCGTTACCTTGTCCCTCTCCTTCTGGATGCCGGTCTCCAAGGTCACCAACTTCTCCTGCAGCTGGTCCATTGCCTTCTGCTCCTTCTGCAGCAGCACCCGCTCTGCCTCCCTCTCCCCCTGCAGCAACGCCCGCTCCATTTCAGCCTGGGGGTGACACCGGGGCCACGGGAGAGCCCGTCAAGGCGGACGGACTCAGGCCACTCCAGAGGCCTTGCCTCGGCGGGGGGAAGAGTGCAGCCAGGGTCCCCACGGCTCACCTCCCGGGCCGACTCCTGCAGCTGCTGTTCCAGCTCCTTCACGCGGACCTTGAGCTGCTCCACGCGCCCCAGCACCTGAGCCCGCTCCTCCTCCAGGGCCAGCGCCTCGGCCTGGAGCTTGGCGCCAGGTGCATCTTCATGCTGCAGGGGGAGAGAAGCCATCAGCTGGGGGCGCCTGGAGCCTTCCGTGATCAGACTCAGGGAATGGAGCCCCGTCCCTCAGGGCACTTGGAAGGGGTAGCTAGGCGGAGAGAGGAGGCCAACTCCCCTCCCCGCAAGGGAAGCAAAACCACCTCAGCCAAAGGCAATGGAGGTTCACCCCTGAGCGCCAGGCCCGGAGGAGGCCCCACGGCAAGGCCCGGAGGAGGCCCCACGGCAAGGCCCGGAGGAGGCCCCACGGCAAGGCCCGGAGGAGGCCCCACGGCAAGGCCCGTCAGAAAGCCTACCCGTGGCCTGGGAGCCACATCAACACCGCCTCACCTCTACCCCTCACGTCCCCAGTCTCTTCCCAAACCTGCCCCTTCGGCGACCTCCCCCTCCCCAGGCCTCGGCCCCCCC